GTGGTGTAGACCACATATTCATTGCGCGGCAGGTTGACAATAGCTGTGTTCCTCGACTTCAAGAGTGCGTTCAACTCAGTTGACCGATGCATTTTGTTCGAGATACTCGCGCTAAAAGGCGTTCCCATGAAATATGTGAACGTTTTACGTGCCCTGTACTCGAACGCGAAGGGCCGCGTCTGGAGCTACGGCAGTTTATCGGATACCTTTCCGACAACAAGTAGCGTTCATCAGAATTGCACAATTTCCCCATTTTTGTCCAACTTCGTCGCGGAATCCATCATAGAATGTTCCCTTACGGAATCTCACGATGTAGGAGTTGGGGACTTGTCTGATGAAAGGTTAGTTGTTTCTTCCTTATACGGACGATATCGTCTTGCTGTGTAACGATGCTAGGGGGTACAAGCAACCCTGAGTACAATTTCTAGAGTGGTTCGGTCAATTGTCATGCGTTTCGCACCATCAAAGTGCAACTTGCTGTTACAGGACCACCAGCTATTTGATGATCCCTTGACCCTTGATAACAAGGAACTCGTGGTTGATTGATTCACATATCTTGGAAGCTGCATCAACAAGGATGGGCGTATGGAAACTGAAGTCAGTTCACTCATTGCAAAAGCTAGAACTGCCTTCTTGAACCTGCGGCACATGGAGACAGAAGCGAGTTTACTTCCGTCCGAAAGGCCGTATTTATAAGGCCACGGTGAAGGCCGTCCTACGCTATGGAAGCGAGACTTGGCCCCTTCGGTCTGAGGCGCCTTCCAGTCTGTGAACACCGTTGTCTGCGAAGTATTGCTGGTGTCGGATGGCAGCAGACTGTTCGCAACGATGATGTGCGTAAGCGAGTACTAGGCAGTGCTAAGCAGGCAAGTTCCTTAGAACAACAGATAGCACTGAATAAGGTGCGTTGGCTTGGGCACGTACTATGTATGCCTGGTCACCGCTTATCGAGGGCCTTGCTTCGTTTGCCAGATGTAGGTTGGCGTAAGGCCCGAGGTGGGCGAAAAGTAACTTGGCATTGGGAAATGAAGTCACTGACGACCCGACTCGGTACCATCTTGCCTTCCAGGCTGGAGTCCACCTGACCCGCCTTGTGCTTGGCTTGAGACGCCACAGGACGTGACCCGTAGTCGACACCAGTGGCGTGTCTGCTGTCGTCTCTTAGTCGGATTGCCTATTTAGTGTTTGGCGCTGAGTTATCTGTGAGGTAACGGCTGATTATGACGCGTGGCAGCGAAAGCCGCAATGTAGCTGTCTCGTCAATGCCGCAATATATTTGCACGATAGCCAGCTGTTTGTGATTATGTTGTTGACAAGGTGTAGGCATCTTGATGCCATGTTTGTTTAGAGCATCAAGGCTTTTATTGTTCTTCGTTCCGTAGGTAACCGTGCTAGTACTGTAGGCAAGCATCAGTTTAAGTGGCTTATGTACTGCTGTTGATTATGATGACTGGGTTATGTTTATCGAATATCACTTGATTGCCTATCACATCGCTCGTTGGTTGCCGTTAATGTGCTCACTCGGGAGAGATCGCTAGTTGTAGACTTGGGCACACCGATAATTGGTGTTTTTTGTGTGAGTACCTCGGGATAGAGCAATCACAGACCCAGTGGCGTCCCCAAATTCGGCCGCTGCACCTATTCCGATGATTAACTTTATTTGCTATTTTCAATCCGTTTCCGTTCATAGTGAATCGAATCGTGACAACTGCATAAGCTACACTTCAACGCCCGGATCATGGCGGTTCAAGTAAGCTTAATCAAATTGGATTGAAGGGATTGATACTCACAGTGAAAGTCGATCCTGTAGTCTTCCGAGACAGTCGAGGAGGCTTCTGGTTAGTAGAATCTGTAGATTGAGTGTCTGAGAACAAGCATAGTCACTAAGTTTCTCGCAATTATTAGCTGTTGGAACATATGAGTGTCTAAGACAACCAACAGTTACTAAGTTTACGCAAAGTTCGCGAGTCAAAGTTCAGCTGGGCACCTTGTATGATAGGTGTGCACGGACAGTCAAAGAGCCGAAAAATTGCAAACAAGCAATTCCCAAGGAAGTGCACGAGAATGATCCGCAAAGCAATTTAATATGCATCAAATCTCTGACTAATTCGGATTGATTCATGGTACCACAAATTTGGAAGCATGGGCTATGCACACGCATGGACTAAAACAACAGACTGGATGGATTAGTCAATAGGGTAAGTCCAATCTCATGTTCCGAATAGACAAGAGAGACAGGGAGTCGCCGCGAAGTCAGCTCAAAGCAGTGATTGCGGCCGGTGCCCACCCACAGAGCAAACTGACAAAAGTGAGCATAATTGTGTCTGTAACAGTGAGCACAGTTCATTGCATGGGGTTCGCAAACAATCCGATTTCTTCGGGCGTTCTTTCGGGAGTAAGATCAGGAGTATGCAGTCAGATAAGGGCTATGGAGATAGAAACATCAGGAAAACGTGAACGGAGCTGATGAGAATAGCTAGAGTCCGGGGGGGGGAACGAGAAAAAAAGATCCCAAATGGAGTGTTATTTAGCAATAACGGGTTGGTGAGATCAGCATTGGAAGCGCAGTAAGTCTAGAGTTAACATGGTGGAGTAAAACAAAGCAGATAAGTACAGGCAATTGTTAGTTGTTTGTGGTAGCATTACAATAACCCGAATAGTGCGTTTGGTAGAAGGTTGAGCAAATTCCGGAGGTAGCTGCATGGGAAAAACAGGTCCCGAGAATTAGGAATGCGCAAATGTATATTTTAACAGGAGAAGTAGTGGGTGGTGGTATGCGATACCCTGAGATAAGTGGATCGGCACGAAAGGTGTGAGACCACATTAGTGGCAAAGTATTAGATTAAGCGAGCGAGTATTGTCGTCTGATCCGTGGAAGCAGCTGCAACGGGGTAAAATCCGAATCGGCGATAGAGCTCAGCGCGATGTTCATTAATGGCATCCAGGTGCACATGAGAGCCCTGTGAAATAGAAAGACAGGTAAAATAGTGAATCAAGTAAAGATGAGCAACGGAAATAGGATTATAAAAAAAGACGATAAAAAGGGATAATACCTCGGAAAAATTGAAAGGGATGTTCCTGAATCGAGATCATTGGAATTGCGTGAATAGCGTGAAACCCATAATGAAGCGTGAAGGGGCAGAGTACCAGATTTAAAAACTGTGCATGGATATTAGACAGGAAGTCAGCATGCAGAATAACAAGGTATTGAATGAAGTGGCCGAAGGAAAATGATGGCACAGATTGTTCCAAATAGCTGCTCCAGCGGAAACGCAGGAACGAACAATGGTCACTTGACGCAATGCGCAGAGGCAAAACATCTGCTATTTACAAGAAGAACGGTCATTTATATCGTAAGTGAATTCGGATCGTCATGTCACTATTTTGCACCATTATTAGATCGTCTTGCTCTCTACCCATAGGTGTTGATTCAATCCAATTAGCCCACACTTGCTACTCGCAACCTGATGCTCGAGTCTAATCACGCATCATTTGTTTAAAACAGCGCTGCACCCAGTAAACCGAAAGCGAGATCAATTCCGAATTGTTCTTTCAGCCCATGTGACAATTGTTAAGCGGTCGAACGTATGGACAATACTTTGTGTCCGCTGGCTGCGCATTAGTCCAATTCATCCGACCCAACAGAAAGTGACTGCTTGTGACAAATGTACAGATAAACGCTTATGGGACGCTGTCAATTGGAAAGAGGCTCACGAACGGGTCTTTTTTGTTGATACGTTGGTAGGGGGTACAAAGCGGTGTAGCAGAGACCAATGGCTGTAACGCCGGAATCCCCAGGTGCGACTCTAGTAACGCTAATCAAGAGTGGAAGAGAATATAGGATTGCCTCTGAGACGATAGACCGAGAACATACTCGATTATCACTCAAAAGCCTGGGACGGCCCTAAAAAACAAGGTCATTTTAATAGGCAAAAGGAGGGATAATAGAGAAGAATCAAGGGTTGAAAAACTACTGCCGAGTTGCCTGTTGAGCTTAGCAATTGGCAGCAGTCGTTTTGTTGTCAAGTGAGGTGACATCAGCACTGCGATGCACAATGGAGTGGAGTGTCATCGCACCCCACTGCTCCGATGCACAACACGACTTGATGGTGTTACTCTGACTAAAGATGAAATGATTGCAAAATTCAGCAGCCAAGTGGATCAATAACTAAAAAAACATCGAAAAATCGTCTAATACTACAGCAAGATGGTGCATGAGAAAATGTGCAAAAGGATCACACCGGTAAGTGTCGTCTTAATCCGGGAGAACACGACTACTCTATGTGAATAGCTGCGAGTATAGTGAAAATTTGCACATTGTCTGAAAGATGACTATGAGCACTTGCATGAAAACGCAAACATCTACTGGTACAGTGTCATCTCTTCGGTTAAGTACAGCTTGAGAAGCAGCACAGGCCCCATCGATCCGCGAAATACTGCAAATCGGTGACCCAAGCATGAGAGATGATACAATCACCGAAGCAAATAAACCGGTCGATCACGTTGAGTGGCCGCCCGGCAATTGTGAGAATCGGTGCTGGGAGTCCACTGCAGTAGCCACGCCCTGGACTGTTGAAGTGCGAAGTACACACTTACAGCACTGTACACCAGTCCATTGATCGGAGGTACGATGTAGCTACATAGACCGGAGATACGACCATGGCGGGTTTTGGGGTAACAGGAGAATTCTCACTTTTGACTGATGATGCCTAGTATATGCGCCAGTGAGTAACTTGGCGTCTCGCAAGAAAAAGTTTGACGTTTCACTGGATCACGTGTTGGGCGCCCACTGCCCACAGTGGCTGGGTTTCGTTCTTCGTATGTTTGTCAACTGACGACGCTGCCGTGCACCGTCTGTCCGGTGGTCATAAAGAAATGGAGCGAAGAGAATGACTGAAAAGTTCGGTGTGTGCTGGCTTTCTAGACATGAGTCTGGGTAGTAATACGAGTGGGCAGATCTCCTGTTCGATATGGTCCACAAGCAAAGTTATTGGCGCGCGTGTAGTCTACTACTACTTTTATTGATGGACTATTCTACCATCAAGTGAATCCTTTTTATCCACATTTTTCCAGCCGATATTATGACTGTAAATGTGCTTGCGTCTTCCAGTTTGCTCGTCAGTATTGTGGTGGCATGTGCCACGAGAATTGGATCCATCGAACACTGGTGCCCGGATCAGATTTGATGAACCGAACTGAGCCACACGAACCACAGTCCGGATTGTATAGGTGCGAAAAAGAGGGTGGGAAGTTGCTTAACGTTTCTGAGAGATTTATTACGCTAAACGACGACTGCAGCATAAATTCACAGTGTACCGTCAGATATCTGGCAGCATGGAATGCCAAGCACAAGGGACATTAAGTCAGATAGCTACAAAACAGTAATACAGTGGCTTATAGGATGTGGACAGGAGATATGCTTGCTTAAACTCTTCGTGTGAAGCAGAAGAGTGGGAAATGGTAGAAGCTGTTAACGACATATACAGAACTAAGCTGGAGGTGAAACGACCACAAACAAAAGTGAAGAGTTAAAGGGATGTCTGAAACTTTCGAAGATTGTATCTGACATTTTGTTGGATGCTTGCATTTGGTTCAGAGGACTAATCGGTCAGTAAGTCCTTTCAACAATGTTGTAAAACTAGGTACCCTTTTCAGTAATCATTGGACACTAAGCGTTCGTGATTTTAAGCCTAGTGTAACGCAAACCGCATTAAAAATTTTGCTACTGCGCCTCGGAAGTTAAAAGCAAATATTATATGAGCAAACATGTCATTGGTAATCCAGCTGAAGAAGACGGTAGTTAAAATGACCCGATGGCGTTTGAGCACTGAGGAATGCCCAGTTCAGTTCGCTCACTTTAGCTAGTACGATCCGAGCAACTTGAACGGTGTGAATTTCCCTAGCTGGCAACTCATCAAGCCCAAAGTACAAAATGGTCCCCGATGGACGTGACTCCCTGATTTCGCTTCGCCGCATTGTAGATAGGCAAGCAAGTCAAAGATCCGGAATGATGGCCATAGTGTGACTAGGACATCAACGTGGTATCATGCCCGAGGAAAAAAAGACCCCAATGTTAATACACGACACACGATTGCCACTCGGCTTGCTTTCACACTCACGCACAAGTCATCCGTTATGATCACGGTGGTGAAGGCTGTGACTTACGTGGGCCCCAATGGTTTTCAGTCCGGCCAACAAGCAAATGAATAACCTCCTAGCTACCGAGTCCAGAATCAACTCTGGTGGATCAACCCCAAGGCCGAGGTTGTGATTCATCAACATGCTTGGGGTAGGACCTCCTGTAAAATTGACCACGCCGATGTCATCCAGTTCTGCCCAGAGGATGGCTGGGTGAGCCGCCAGGGCGGTGTGTAGTGCTTCTGGTCCACCAGCCATAATCACCGGTCTGGCGAAACCAGAGACAGGACCGATCGAGTTACTTGGACAACTGTCCCGCAGATTGACGGTTGGAGTGCGTTCAGCAACAGACGGGGGTGACGGTGGTGCTATGTCCGGAAGGAGGGGCGGTGGAATCACGGGCGGAAAAGGAGGGCATCCAATGGGGAATGGCGGTGGAGGCACATTGAGGGGGATATTGAGTGGAGAGAAGGCGCTATCACGGCGAGAAGGCTCTACTTCACCACCTTCTAAACACCCTGAGAGTGCGGGTTCTACCGGCAAAGTGCCTCCAAGAGGCTCAGGAGGAGGCAAGACTGCAGCCGCGTCAGCAATATCTGACACTTCGATTAACTCGGCGTGGAATGGATGAAGCAAGAACTGCAAAGGAAAATGAAGGTACGGACGGATCAGATATGATCAAGGGACAAAGGAATTCGAAGCCCAGATATGAATACAAGAGAAGAATAAAGCTGGCTGATGAAGAGATATGGGATGAAATACTGCGGAATAGCATAAAGATGAACTGAGCACAGATACTTGCCCTGATGAATTCGTCCGGTGTCATTGGACTTTTGGTAGTGAAGGTTGAGGGGGTGGTTTCATTGGTGGATTGGTGGGTTGCTTTGGACCCATCAGGACCAGCATCAGTAGGTGGAGATTCTGTCGAAGGGCGTGGATATTTTAAGCGCAATGAGTTTCTGTAGCGAGCAGTGCGATCTCTTGCCCATGCGACTGCATCGGGAGCTGCAAAATCGAAACCAACGCATTTTATCTCCGCACAAGTAGTAACTCCAACACCAGTTGATGAGCAGGAGATGAAGGGTGGTCCTTCGACAACCAAACAATTTTCTGGTGAATGCTCGAGAAAGTGTAGCAGATAGCTGTAGAAAAACGATGTAGATAATGTTTGACAAATCACTAGATGAGGAATATGCTTTAAAACTTGGATTTCCGGAAGCAGTTATGAAAAGAGCAACAGAGCAGTCAAGAGGTGGAGAATGAAGTGTAGACAAGAGAAATAAAGCAAAGAATAGCGTTAAAAGAAATAAAATTGGTTCGGCGAGGCACTGTACATGTTGCCTAAAGTAAAACATGCAAAACGCAGGATTCCACCGACTGCTAATCATTGCCGGGGGACGGGATGAACCGTCCTCATGACCGTATTAGGTCCAAAGAGTGTGGAGCGGACTGTAGTCCAGCCACCGAATTGCGTACCTCAGGTACGCATGATTCCCAACTGATAGACAAGACTGCTGCTACTGTGCGTGTTGAAGGAGCGTGAGCCGGCTGCATTGGTGAAATGTAGTTCCTATCCACATGCCTCCCGGTCTTATTCCTTAGGGTTTACACTGGATATGGGGTGTGTGGATGGAGTTGTGGGTGGTGCAGCGCAAGGCACCCATGGAGGCCGCGGTGAGAGGCAAATCCGAAATTGGATACCGACAACCATATACCATAGTTATCACCTCAACCTAGTAACATATAATGTGTATACAAACGACTTGGCCGCTAGACACAATCATAAATGCAAAGTTGTGGGGCAGTTTAACAACAAAAATAAAGTAAATTCTTGGCAATGGCGTAGACTTTTATACGATCGCAAGAAATACATTGTAAAAACAGTTCAAAATGAACGTTGTGTTCTTTTTTGACAATTGACATCTCTTTTTAATGCCATTTGCGACTGAAATATCTGTGTAGTCCCAACTTCGATATGACAAGTATTGATTAGTGAGTTTGTACGGTAAGAAGTTTTGTTGCTTTGATGAATAAAACTAACTGCTCACAAACGTAGGCAGGACAGAACATTGTTTTAATCCTTGTGGCAAACTTGGCGAAGTTTGTAAAAATTGTAGGAAGAAACGAAAAGAAACGAGGTTCCCCCACTTCAAGATTGCTTTGAGGGCAGAATCCGATTGCATTTCCTCTGCCTCAGCAAGAACGAAGGTGAATGGTGCAGAGAATAACACAAATTAGTCTCCACAAGATGAGGGATCACGAAATCTTCCCTGACATTTTTTGACGATAATTCCAGATCATAATTAACAAAGCTAAGTGCAGACTAAGTATTGGCAATCTTTCAGTGCTTTGCATTTAGGGAAATGAACTAATTGCTATTTGACAATTGTGACTTTCACCGGCTCAGTTTTGCAATGAAGCACTAGATGTCATCATACAACTGAGTGATGAGTCTGTTTTACCATGCAATTTCAAATAAAAATCAGTTAATTGTGCAGTAATGTCCATATCAAAAGACCATGGAGCCAACTTCATCTTTAATTCATGTCTCAAAAAATAAAATCTTTTCAGCACTTTGTGACATGACAGCCAGCGGACTTCTGTGTAGAATGGAAAATCGGTAAACTGGTTATCTCTATCTTCCAACAACTGGTCGCATTGACGCTGTATGATGACACGGCCTCTGACATAATTCATCGTCTTTGTGACCAATTTTTAAATCCATGAACATGAATTTTGCCGATGGGTAATGCGGTAAAATGCAGTGATGAATCTGCGTACAAATTTTGCTATTTTTGTTCCTAAAATGGCAACGAGCCCATTATGACTACCAACTATATTCGCAGCACCGTCGGTAGACAAGTATGCAAGTGTGACCAAATCCAAAGTATAGTCACGCAAAACTTACTGGCATGTTGTAGTGGCGTGCATGGGAATCAGTTCCTCATAAATACTAAAATCATCGTCGCGCCCGCAAGCTGTTATTTCAGTGATGTCAACAGTCTCATCAACAACATTAAAAAAACGTTCAAATCTCATTGATGTGGCATTGACATTTTAGCAATCCGTTAGGAAACAGCATCCCTGTGCTTTCTCTGGATACACAATTTCAGCTGTTTTCACAGGGCACTATTTCATGAAATCTCCTTTATTGTAAGATTTTCCACTCATGGTAATCATCCGGCTGAGTTCACAGACTGCAAAGGAAGCCACATTCCATTTCAGTTTTCTTAAAACAGGTACCTAGCTGTCTCAAGTTACCCTTCAATTCCTTGAGTATTGAGACTCGCATTGCGCCTTCACAGTTGCCATAAAGTCGATGGTTCGCTTTAGGACGCTTTTTTCCAATTTCTACTCGGAGCGTGACAATGCTGTTGTTGCAAATTACACAATGTGTACTAACATTCGCCGCTGTAAAAATACTGTAATCCCTACTTTTTCGAAACAATCGCCCTCCATCGTTCACTGCCCTTTTTCTCTTAGCTGGAAGAGCACTATAGACTATAAAAATTACGTGGAATTTGAACAGTGTTCATTATATTGTAAGGAAACCATTCCACACACTTTATGGTAAACAATAACAACAACAACAACAACAGCCAAACGCGTGCGAGCGAACTTACAGTGATAATGGTTCGCGTGCAGTCAGCCAGTCACATGATGTCACCCACACATAATCGATACACATCGAGCAGTGCGTGCGTCGCCGACAACCAGTCAAATCCCAAAGGGGTAGGCGTGGTTACTGACCCGAGGTGGAATGTTAAAACCTAAGTCATATTCATATTTGGAAATTTTATCTCGCTTACCTCACAGCAGTATTCATGTTTATATGGTGCTTTTGAAATGTAGTAAAGGCGATTGACTATTTCAAAATGTAAAAAAGATGAATAAGGAAAGGCAGGCTGATTTTCTGTGAACGAAAAACTTTTATCCTGTTTAAATTATGAAAACTGCAATTTTGACCAAGTGTACCGCAGGTGCGCTCGCAAAGGGCCACGTCTTTTACATTCCTGGCCCAAAGGAGATGCACAGTGGTAACCGAAACCAATCGAGGGTAATTCGACGGAGTATATGCATCGTCCACGTCGTTTAAACTAAAGCATCAGCAGTATGCCGATACGTATTACCGATGCTTAGTTGCAGCGTAACCACTACCAGCTGCACGTGGGCTAAGGATACTGTGAGGGTCGCCCGGTCCCTAGGTGGGCTCGAACCCACGCATTCGCAGGCTCGTGATCCTTAAAACTACGGGACGGCAAGCAGGTCTCGAACTCGCGACCATTGAAATAGTAACCGAAACATCTAACCCATTGGTAGTGAGCGGCTCTATATCATATCTAGTAACTTAGTCACGATGGTTGTTGCCGTCACCCGTAGCTCAGTGGTGTCAGTGGTGTCGAGTTGCGGATTCGAGCACTACAACAGGCAGAAGGAATGCACACTGTTGACGATTCCCGAAACGATGAAACGGTTGTTCAGTGCCTTTACTGGCGTATGTTGGCTGTCTAAGTTTATACCATCCAACACCTTCTGCTACTCTGCTGAAATTGGAGTGTCTTGAAATCCGAACTCACGCGAATTAATGCTCAAACTGATTTACAGACCGCACGGATAGATGCAAAGAACAAGCTGACGGAGTGGAGTTTAACACGTATGAAGGGTGGACTGTGTTTTCTGAAGAGTGGAGGAAGCGCAAAGAGATGGCAGTATGCAGACAAGGTGACTCAAATGGGGTAAAAATTCGATGCGATACGCAAAAGCGGACTTACCGATCTCCGGGTAGATCAGACAACTCCGGAGGCAACGCTCCCTCATGCAATCCCACCCGTGCCAACAAAAGGCGACGGAATAGATTGTAGACGTCAGTTGTATCCTCAGGTCGATAAGGTCGCACGACGCACGCACACGACCGAGTAGAACGAGGCAGTGGGACCGGAGGTTGTATTGGGATGAACGGTACCGCACCAGGCGGGATGCCGACGGCCGGGACATCTGGCCAGGCGAGGGTCGGGATGGTAATAGTTTCCGGAACGGCTCGAGACGGGGCAGGGAACAAATCCTGTGCGGATTCCAGGGGTAGTATCCGCTAGGGGAAAAGGTGGTCGAGAAAAGATGACAAAAAGTAGCCAACCTGCTGTTATTTAGCCAGTCCCACTCATTAAATAATACGGTTGACGAGGAACGTGATGAATACGGTAAAGTTGTACCATGAGGTGACACCTGTGCAAGTCGTAACAGTTACATCATCATCATCATCATACACGTTAGCTAGAGGTGGGGAACACCTCAGCTACTGTGCCGCAATACAAAGAAAAAAAATGAGAGAGAAAAAGAAAACAACTGGTGAAAGCTGGCTGAGCTACCGGTAACGGATGGGCATCGTTCCGGTAAGCTACCAGCCGGCTGCTGTGCACCCAAACAGTTACAAAGAGTGTTAGAAGCAACTTGGAAATAGTTTCTAACGTTGCCGGAGAGTTAAACAGAATAAACTGCTTAGAAGTGTATTGGGAAGAAACAGACAGATAACGCACCGTACACTCCCAAAGTGTGGCAGCGTTAGGAAGCGTAATTGCTAGGAGACGGATTAGGAAATGGCGCAGAGAAAATGCACCAATAAGGTTTGTGAGCAAGACATGAAATTGGAATGAAAAAGAGCAATTACCTGAAGTTCGGTGATTAGCCCACCTCGGAAAGTCCAAGGTTCCTGATCGCCCGAGGTGACCATGTCGCGGTATCCTGGAGAGAACCCTGTAGAGTGAAAAGTGTGCACCATGTGCGTGTGTGAGAGAGGATAAAACAAGCAGTACGTGCTAAACAAACAAAAAGAACCAGACATATGAAGATAAAAATATAAAAAGTAGCGTGTCAGATGTACGCCGTAACGGCGCTTCGCTGCCCCGCGACCACCATAGGTCACGCGTGGGCTGAGTATAGCACCAGGATTCGAACCGGCGAAGTTATGATTGCAAATCAGGCATGCAGACCACTCGGTCACGGGCCGACTGCAGACCACTCGCCCACCGGCCCTTGAAAATAAAAGACCCGACTGGAAATCAAAACTACCATAGGAAGAGGAACGTGAGTTATACAGCACAGTGTGAGGCCAGAAATATGGAGGTGCACAGAGAACACAATGGCTGTTATGCTACTAGCAGAGGGTTGCGATCTAGTTCCGAATGTGCCTGAGAGCATAACTGCGACTGACCACAGGAGGCCTATGCCCTCGAGGGGAATATGGATAACTTACGTTCTCCAACCACGCGCCCCAAGTTCAGTGTAAGTCCGAAGCATTAAGAGATCATCAGAGAGTGGTGCACAGACGGGGGCCACAGTTGCTTCGGAACCACCTCGAGTTATACCAACACTCCGAACTCTTCCAAATGTGGGTGAGAACCTGTGTAACAGTTCACCGGAGCATGTCGACGCAAAGACATGACGAGGCTCTAAGCGACAAATTCGCTTAGGGCTTGAGCAATGCGTAAAACTCTCGGGCAAAACTAAAACAGCCGTAAGTTAACTACGCTATTGTTCAAATAGAGATCAAAATGCAACACGGATTTACCTCAACAGCAACTGATCAGTGTTGGAACAAGCGGGTCTTTACAAGATACGCAAGGAAAGTGCAAATCACCGCATTTGCGACTGTACAGCCAGATCAGAGAAATCAGTCCACGAGTAAAATCTCACAGGTTCTTTTATTGGGTCACAAAATGCAATGATGAATTTGCTGTAGACCGCAAAGAGAATGCACTGTTGGCTTCAATGGGAGGTGGTAATGTGTCAAGTATGCGCGAGGGTGCGAATGAACGAATGCCTGACACGTAGTGTGACCCATGGGGCAAGTTGCACAACAGGAAGCGAGCAATTGCGACAATTGGGGTCCGAATAAAACCATAGGAGGCCAAAAGGGGGGTTTGCCAAGCACATGGCGCACGTGTCAGTCGTAGTGATGTAGTGCAATATTCCGACATCCAAAAATCAGTTGGCATGATAATCCTACTGGTAACGGAGACAGTGGGTACATTTCACTCATATTTAACATTGCTGGTCACTCACTGAGGCTAAACAGTAGGCAGCATGCACGTCAGAGGTAAAGGGCTAGGGACTGTACACTCATTGTCTTAGGTAAAAGAATAGCGATATCCCCCAGCAAGTGATAGAGGAACTGAAGGTGAAATGAAGCACAGAGACTGTTTTTATCCTCTCCAATGGATGCACAATTTCAGGTCTAGGTAACGACAAGTAAAAGAAAAAAATGACACAAATTAGAAGGCAACTCACAGGTTAACAGTCGGCGTAAGTGACACATGCTGCGGCAGGACATTACTCCGGTCTCTGCAAAAACAAAACGGAGGTGAACGGAAACGTGAAAAACGAGTTGAACGTGTGAGAGAAATAGGGTGATGGTGGGAGCTCTGTGAAAACGAAACCTGGTAGCACAATTGTGCCGAACCAAAAAGGAAAAGTTGTTGAGTTTTTTAATCAATGAGGCTGACGGAAAATGCGCATCTATGGGATGCATCGATGCCGTATCCACATTAGTCGATGCTGGGTGTCTTCCGATTGACCTGTCCAAAAATACAGGATAGCAGCGTAGTTTTTTTCGTCTCAAATGCACATTCGTGCGCAGTTTAACGGTAAGTTCACCATAGAAGGTAATCGGAAAACACAGAGGATCACGATATGTGACTCCATGGGGATTAAGACCCATCACATTCGAGCGACACGAATGTTCCAATGACTGTCATGATTAAAGCCATGTAAGTGAATACTTACGAAAAGTGGGATGATTCAGAGGGAATGGAAACGGATACAAGTACCCGGGTTCAGAATAACTACAAATTTGACGTTTCAAATGAGAAGTCTGCCACATTGAAATAATGTGACCTGTGTTGTCTTGCATTGTAACAGGTCACAATGATATCCCACCCCATCCTCATAGATGATAGTCTTTAGAAAACCCTACAAGTCATGCTGCTAGATGTAGTGATCAATTCGATGAACTGTTACAGGACATGAGGCAACAATCTAGATGAGTAAAAGGTATAGTGGGAGCGGCTCCGGCAACAGCAGAGGCGGAAATATTAGGGCGAAGTGTAAAATGTACAATAGCTCACAAAAGTAGCACAACAAGCAGGCGGATAAGGGACGTTGTCCAACTATACCAACCATAAGATAGGGACTGTACAATGCACCATAGAGTACAGGTGTCATGTGACCGAGGAGTAGCAATTCCGAAAGACTAAAAATGACAGATTCTGGAAGAATTATGAACATGTCTAACGAATGCCGAAGTAAGCTTCTAATCTGCATTTAGTTGAGGCAATGAAATTCTCGTGGTTCGGTTGGGATATAGGTATTCATGTGGTGAAAGATGCCTGAATGAAGAGAAGTGTACCACAGACGGCCGGTTGACTTACCCAACCAGTGGAAGTAGTCCAGCACCATACCCAAAACTGTGTGTACTTCGGTCACGTACGGAGCCAATTCGTAGGCTATGCCACGAGATGGAAGGCGCTGAATGCGGTCACGTAGCCGAGCCACAAGTGATACCATCTCGGCGAACTCAGACAGCTTTTGGACCCATTCTATCTTTTTCTGCACGGGAACAGTGAGAAACGTATACAGAGATACTATAAGCAGTGGAGATGAGGCGGCAGAGGAGAGAGTAAGGATGATTATAATAGAACAAAAAAGCGGTTTTGTTGACAGCACTGAAACGATACAAATACTTGAGCGGCCAATAGATCGATATAAAAACGGCGCACAAAACCTCACGCGTCGTCTTGATCGGCGTATTCAACAGATAAATGATTCCATATTCATTCTGAGAACTGTGAAGAAATAAGTGGAGGACGGTGACTACGCTGTGGAAATTAGAGCCGTAGTCCTTAAACCATAAGTAGACAGGACGCATTTTAACGCCAGATAGGACCGGATATTCCTGTGGAAGAGATGAAATGGACGTACGAAAATACTTTGTGTTCATTGCCGGCGTTTTGCAGTACCCGCAGTGCGTTCGGAAGGTGACACGTAACTTCAGCCTAGACCGATTGTACTGAAAAAACTTAATCATTTAGGCAAACGGAACCATGACTGCACTCATTCAATGAATTTAAACGTTGTATGACTTTCAAAGAACGGATAATCCGTGCCTAGAGGACTGAACTTACCTCCGGATCGCTGGGATTGGGTCCGCAAGCATGCGATTGGTCCCGTAACCAATGTCCCAATTCGAGTAACCGTACAGCAGAGGGGCCGTGAGCAAACGGCAGATAGAAAAGATCAGCGAACAACTCCAGGTCCTCCAGTGTGACATCCACAAATGAGCAAGCATCTAGACACAGAGGGAGAACGTGGGTGTGCGCAGGTCAGATTATTTGCCAGGATTCACGCGGCACACTTTTTTGAGGATACCGAAGACTGAGGACGTCGCTAAACATAAACAGCGACAGTGAAGAAAGTTAACGTGCAAAACTGGGATAAAAGCTCTGAGGAGTTCGGATTCAGCATGACCGTATACCGTATAATACTGAAGATAGAGAGCAAGGAGAAAAAAATCTGTGTTGTTCCATCGTAGGTGGATTGGGCACATGTGCGGAATCACGTCGCTGATTCCTGCGTGATGGTGGCATATTGCAGCTGCACTACATCTTATCCGGGTGCGATAAGCTTCCTATTCATGTAGTCCGCAAAGTAGACATCAAGAAACCTCTTAAATTCCGACTAGTGTCTCCGGCAACTTGTTTCAATATTTCACCACTGGACGCTCGAAGCATAGAGGGTGAGCGATACGCTTTAAATCCGGTACCACCATCTTGTACCGGTGTCCGTGTGTGCTGCTTAGTGCACGTAGGTGCAGTAGCTGCCTCAACATAGGGATCATCCAAACACGGTGAGTGAATGAACAGTGTGCCATAAGTGAATTTGATAACCCAAAGCAACAAGCGCTAGTGGATGCTAGTAGGAAATAAACTAATTCCCGCCGCACTTTACTCTCCTCTGTAAAATAGAGCGGACAACCTAACATGTGAGAAACCAGCCTGAGGTACAGGCTGTTTGAGTTGTCATGTAGCTGAGTACAGGTTGATCTCCCTTACAGAGACCAATTTGTGATTTGAAGAACACGGAGCAGATGGTCAAAGTAGTTTTTCGATTCGAAATACGATTAGCTTATGCGGCTTAGGGTAGAATTAAGCTAAGTCACATTTGTGAATAGAGCGAACTTCTCAACTGATCCGAACGCAGCAGAATGTATGGGACTGCATGGCACTGTTATAAGTGACCATGCAAAGCTGAGTACTTTTTGCAATTCGGTGTAATCAGTGGCCGTATAACAATGTAAACTGCTTCTGAAATAACGTTACCACACGCCAGAGAGCGTCGATGGAGTATGGCGCTGTTGACAAATGCGAAGCATGTGTTCAAACAGTTCCTCAGATTAGTGAAATAACAACTGAATCGAATGGCGGATGACCCAGCTATCATGCGCACACTACACTACACATTACACAACAATGAGGGCATAAGAGTCACGCTGATTTTAAGGATGATCTGTGTATCGACATCGGAAGACAGAGCCGACATGATAAGCCGGAGGCGCTTTAAGTACACCACATGCGAGATACTAAGCAGAACAATCGGAGCAGTTAGTCTACGAACAAATAGGAGAAACGCCTGCGTATGGTGTTTGTGATGCATGAGAACCGAACTTGCAGATCAATAAAATGAGGTGGTAATTAATAGAGGCTGGTTTTATAGAGTTCGGCGAAATCAGACTGTAAGCGCAGCAAGAAGCTTGGGAAGACAGCAGGGTGAATCCTAACAGAAGAGCTCAGGCTTTAAGAAAAACGGACATCATTTGAGGAAAAATGAAAGCAAGAATGCAGTCTGACCACATAAACAAGTTGAAAATCAGCCGGAAAACCAGATGAGCGAGTGCGGAGGATCGATAGGATGATCCAACGTAACCGGGAAGCACGAAGTGTTAGCCGGTACCGAGACACCGGATGTTTGTAGGTTTCGTGTGGCTCAGCTTCATATGGTTACGCTACACTACGAGCCTCGAGGAGGAAAAAGAAAGTTATCGCGATTCCTAGCTTTCTCAAGTAGTCGATGTGAGTTCAAAGAGGAGATTACATACTTTGGAAGGACAACGTTGACAACACCAAGAGAGGAGAACGACGTACTGGAGCTTGAGAGATCAGAGACAGGAACATCAGGAATGGTGGCGCCGGGAGACGGTTCAACCTAGGGAGCAAAACAATCGAGAGGTCTGTGCAGCGATTGAGCTAAAAAAAGTGAGCAAACTTACGCACATGCACCATGGTTTCATAACGAAAATGATAGATCCAAGTGAAACAATAGAATTTTGTGGTGCACGTCAAGCGTGGCTGTAAAAACGAACTAAATCATACATAAGTCGGTAAAAGAGGCGAAAACTCAATCGGAGTGGTTCTCTGTGTTGTTGTCTCCAACTATTGCGCGTCATAGCTGGTTTCACTCTTGTTTGAATCCTTCAGGTAGAGACAGCCATAGATGGGATTCGGACTCAAGACATAGTGCCTGACAACCTAGTGATCATAGCATTAGTCGTCAACCGGGTGAGCCCAAATGAGGAGCAAACCGGTCGGTCGCGGGGTGCAGTGCTGGGAGAGAGCAATACCGAAGTAAATCCACTTCTGATGCGGTCCCAGTGATCGAAGTGAAGCGTGGCCTCAACTGGGGCCGTGACGCAATCAAGACAGACACAGTGGGTACTCCAAAACGGTGCAATGAAAATTCAACTGGCTGTGAAACAGATGTTGTAAATGAAGGTGAAAAAACTGTCTGTTTGAGATAAAAATGACGCAACCGCTAACTAGTGAATTGTAATGCAGGAGAACTCTTCGATCCCAGTGAAAGTGGAAGGCAAAAGAAACCTTTGTGGTCAGCAGATAAGCAATGTGAGTAGCAGATGTCTTACGGCGAAGACGTTCACCGCTCAGTGAGTCTGCTGCAAGCATTAAACCACACAGCTTCAGGCATCCCATTATTCGGATGTCGAGATAGCTGTCCATAAAAAGAAACTACTAGCCGGAAAGAGACGTCGGTAAATATGCACTGTGGTGGCGGATCAGTTAATATCTCATGGGACCTCAAATTAGTGGTAACCACGAAGCATCTATCTAAGAAAAGAAAAAGTACTGTCTACCTGAGAGTCAAAGCATCGATAATAGGCTGTCAGGTCACCAAGTGAACGCCTACCTGACCCATCATGTCGACAGATTGACAGACGCTTGTTACGTTCGACCATCGCTGCCTTCGCAGCATGGCTCATGTCTGATGGGAACACCGCGTGAGCAATGTGCGCGTTCGGTGTCGCGTATTGGGTGCAGGGAGAGCGAGTGAACCACTCAGCACTGTTGCATCACGCACCAGACTCCGATTGCTACGGGCAATCTAGCACAGCGATTCCCGCATCGTGCGTTGTTTGCGCGCCGAGAGTGTGGATAGAAAAAGAGGAGGAAAGGCCAAGCGATGATTTGGGCAAGAGGAATGAAGATCCTCACTTCGAAATTGGTGCTGGTTGATGTTTCCTGACTGCCGAGCTGAGGACCAAAGGATGATGAACACATTTGGCTGGATACACTAGTTGACATGGCGAAGAGCCGACCTCAGTGGCGTTTGTGTTGTGAATCTCCTTGTCGTTCTCCTCCCCTTTAGCTTCCCCCTCCAACAAGGATTTCAAACCCAATGCACAATATGATATTTAGCATTATGTTACTTGTTTATGGCATTCTAGTCTATGTTGTCTAATCTGTTATCAGTGGTGTGGGATCCGAGCAATCATCACCATACAACAGCAAGTTAACGCCACGATAATTCGCGGCACATTGCTTGCTCCCTTCGCCATTGTACAGTGGTAGCAGAAGGGCATCTTACAAACCAGCCAGCACCTCTTCTTCAAACCATCCGCGTTGCACCGAGCGGTGTAGCGCATGTAGCATCGCTGGTCCGCCGCGTTTCAACACTTCAGGCGATTTCCAGTCGGCTTCGGTGTAGTTGCAGTTTCGCGGTTGACAAAGTACTCTGTGCGTTTCACGTAACCTAGAGGGATCGACACGAACGTTAAACATATAATTTTTGTTGCGACCCGTTCAAAGCATCCCAGTCAATCTCTGACAGCATTTGTAACGGACAGAGAGAGGTTCCTGAACCAAGCAAGTGTAAGTTAGCGTAGCTCAACAGCAGTGAAGAAACATGAGGTATGCAATATATATATATATATATATATATATATATATATATCATTGTCAAAAGCACAGTGGAGGTAATAAGACACTTGCAACTGCCTGCTGGTGCCATTTTACCCCGCATTTAAGATTGTTTTAGGGAACTTCAAATCTTTAACTTTAACTTTCACTCACGAGATATATACAGTTTTGTAGATAGTACACCTGTAAACGACCGGGCACTTTAGGAAAGTGAGTTGAATACAAGCTATAGAAATGTATACGACAGCGAGAGGTTCCTGAACTTACTTAAACAAAGACAGGTGCCAAACGAGCAATTGAGACTGACACAAAATCTGCCTATCAAAGCGGTGTTGTACGAAGAGTGAAACTGAATCGGATGACTAGCTAAGGGATGAAACAACAGAAGGAACATAAAGATGTGCAACACTATCAGAACGCACCACCATCGCCTCCGTAGTGGTGACATCGGGGATATCTGTGTCCATGGGCGTTGGGGTTCCACCGGCCGTGACAGATTTCGAGGACGCATGAGCCATCTGTTGATCCTGAACGAAAAATAACGGTAGAGAATACATATAGTTGAGCTAACTAGTGACGGATACCGGGAACAGGTCACCTGCATGCGTAAAAGACGAGGCTGGAAAAATGCCACAGTGTGCATTGTTCATGTAGGTGTGGACAAGGAATAGCAAGAACTCATATCACCGTCACAACTGGTAAATGGAAGAAGGGGGGACATACACGATGCGAGGGAGTGAAGATAGTAATTTTCGCAACCTCTTCCAGCTCATTCGTACGTTTGTACGTTGCTTGCACACAGCGCGGATGTGTTGCAACACATGACTAGTGCTCTAGCTTCGACAGCGGCCAAATTCGGGGTTACCAACAACACAAGCAAAACTGTCTGTCTCTTTCAGCCTTCACCCGGAATGGAGTCCGTGGGCTCACTACAAATCCAGGTTGCCAACGAAGTCCTGGAAACAGCCACGAGATTTTGCTACATTGGGAACGAAAAAACAACCGAGCTGCTGATGACGAGCAAGCTGCGCAGCCGCTGATCGAAGGTGGCTGCTGCATTTGTGTTGCGGGCATGTCAAATAGCTCCGCAAAAATGCGCCACAAACGCCAGTACGTGGGCTGTGCAACCCAGAGTTCAATTCCTCCCCACAACGTACCAGGACCCAGCCACCACGAGTTGGGGCGCAAGTGGGCTAAAGTGGACTAGGTTCTCTCATAAACCACCAGCCTTACGTGGTGATTCATTCACCCACAAAATGAAGCATTGTTCCAACTGTGATCTGGCCTTTGTGGGTCGTAAAAGAGCTCTCAGAGATCCGCTTCATCTTCTCTTGTCTCCTCTCTCGGTGGTTGGGAACCGCGTAGTCACACGATCGTGTGCGCAGCTCTAGCCGTGTGTTCCGCGTTCATCTAAGCCTTGCGCGTTTAAATTCCTCAGCCGTGTGAGTCGTTGTTCGTTTTCGAGGACTCAGCATGTCATTCGAATACGCGCGTGAATAGGGACCGTGCTCAAGTTGCGCATAACTATCGTTTAAGCTAACGCGACCAGGCCTGCACAAATTCGTTGCAATTTGGCAAGCTGGGATGTCGTGTTTCGAGTGACCAGCAAATATACAGTGAGAATCGTAGATGTGTACCGAAGGCAGCGGTGACATTCGGGAAACTTGAGTACCGACTGCGGAACAACCACCAGGTCACTGTCTGGACGAAGCTGCTGGTATACAAGTCTATGGTGCTGTCCATTCTTCTATACGGCAGCGAAACCTGCACGCTTTATCGGAAGGATGTTTGTTATTTGGAGCGCTTCCATCAACAGTGTCTGCGCTGTATTTAGCGTAGTTATGTCGGCATATGCGTAAGCTTTATTCAATTTTTTGTTGCGGTCATTGCAAACGGTTGGCTGTTGCTTGACATCCCCGGTGTGATTGCGCTTGATGTGCATGTTGATAAGGTACGATCCAAGGTCTCTCTCTGTAGACGCAGGCGTCTTGTGGCTGTCCTATGGAGGTCACAGTTACGCCCGCGCGTACAGAGGGACCATAGGCGGCTCGCGTTGCACCACCCACAGCTCCATTCACACACCCCATATCCAGTGTAAACCCGAAGGAATAAGACCGGGAGGCATGTAGATGGGAGCCACGTTTCATCAACGGAGCCGGCCCACACTACTTCACAGGCAAACACAAGCACGCTGTATTTGGGAATCAAGCGCACACATGGCGGTGGCTGCACCGTAGTCCGCTCCATACTGAGTGCAAGGAATTGCTCTTCGAGCCTTACATGGCCACAAGGCACCTTGTCAACTTGCACATCAAGCGCAGCCACACCGGGGATATCAAACAACAGCGATCCATAACATCCAACGTTTCTAACACCTGGGGTCTGCATTATTTGGTCCCCAGCCTGTAAGTTGAAATAATCTGCTCGTTATTGGTTGCCTACAGAGGCAATATTTCCAGTTGCTGCCGGAAAGCGCAAATAAGGATCGGTAGTGAAAGCGATAGGCTGGCATACGTAATACGCGGTCGAGCCAACACTTACTGTGTCGGAGAATAACATTCTGGAGAGGGGGCAGTTCGGGCCGAGCACTCGGTCATGAACTTCGTATTACTTACGTGATGTTGACAACATACGCGTGCAAGCCTTCACAGACAACAGTTGTGAAGGACAGAATATAGTTTCATGTCTTCTGCGCGAACAACCATGTGTCACAGCCGTACAACGGGACCGTAGGGACGGAGGCACCCTACACCATGCCCTTGAACTTGAGACTGACATCGCAAGGATGTCATAAGTGTCGTATTCTGATGAAAACAAGGCGGGTCTTTGCGATCCGTTGTGAGACCACTCTAACACCGCTACTAGTTGTGATGCAATTCCATAGATAAGTAAAGCAAGTAACTGTCCCAAAATGTCACCAGACACAAGCACCAGCCAATACTGGAATAGTGTTTTATATTTGGCTGGATGCCTTCATCTCTAAGTGGCTCTACGCGTTTTGGAAGGCTTGTGGATTGTCCTCCAGGAAAACGATATTATCGGTGTAAGCCAATTTGGCGACACTATTGTCAGGGAGTAGCTTAACACCTAGTGCTCATGTAACAGTGTCTTCAGTAATAAAATTGAAGAAAATATAAAGTAGGATAGCTGTGGCGAACGCCACAGGTAATGGAAAGCTTACTGTAAGCCACATTACCCGACGTGTGACTGTGCAGTTACCTCAGGATAGCAAGCAATCTGTCCAGTGCACCTAACTTGTGGGTCGAAACAACGGATGATTCGTCCATGAGTTGAAAACCCGACCAGTCTAGGCCTTCCTGAACAGCTACAGGGTTCTGTTGTAAAGTACATTCCCGCCATCATTGAATATTCGGGGAGAGGCTGTCTGGGTCGAGACCTTGTAACAGTTCCAAGCTTGGATTGCGTCAAGAATCTCTGCTTCGGTAAGAGGATCTGTGGGAACAGGCCAATCAACACCCAATGGAAATGGTGTCACAGAAGGATGTGCGGAATAACTAAATAGAAGAGCAAAGCGCTCTGTCAAGCGATCGAAGCGCCTGCAAAGGGTGGCGATTTCAGTGTCGTCTAAAACAGAGTGTCTGACTGATGGCGTATGAAGTAAAACAAAGTGCGATAGTTTTCAGCTGATGCAGCATCCTCCATTGCAGCAGCTTTTTCTGATCACCAAGAGTCCAGATCAGAGTGAGTGAGTGCTTGCTTCGGCCCTGAGAAACAGACCGGAGGAGCTCGTCGTGTTCTGCCAATGGGGGCACAACCCGTCTATGATCTAGCAGTTTCGAGGATGCAGCCGGAATCCAGCTTTAAGCTGGACGTCATGTCTTATTGCAAACCTGACCAATGCTAGTCAACATCCAGAGGGATGAAGAGAGAGAGAGATGTATGCAAGCAGCTTCTGATGATAGTCCGTTTGCACCGTTGGGTCTCCCATTGTACAATTATATGGCTCTAAATGAACGATCGAAACGCATACAAACTGCCGCATACATAAATGCACGATCGGCTTCGACACAAGTTCACCAGTACGATCGGTAAACCCGTAGGCTGCCACGCCGCTTGTGACTTATGGTGTTGTGGTCAATTTGCGACCAACGTTGGGAGGATGATGGAGGTCGTCAGGTGGAACAGTGGCGTCTCGAGTGACGAACTCGTGGTGGAGAGAAAAAGCTGGTTGTCGGCACGTAGACGGATCAACCTTACTCCGTTGTCAGAACGGACATCTACATATTCGCGCGCCCTCGCCCACGAGGTGACGTTCACGTAGCAGTGACCGAGTGCTACGTGAAGTGGAGTCTGGTGCCACAATGCTAACTTCCGCTTTAGGCACCCTCATAAGCAGAGATCATGAAGATTTTGACTGTCCGGGATTTAGTCGGTGGGCGCGTAAAACGAGATCATAAAAGAAGCACGCTTGTCGGTTCGACTTCTGGTAACCTTGCAAGAGCCAATGAATCTCATAGCACAAACGCAACTGTTGTTTAGAATCCAATCAAAAAGTGTCTCGGCTCTAGCAACGAGGGCGATCCCAACACCACCGTGCCCAAATGTGGCTGACGCAGCGTCGCCAGAAAGGCAAAGATGAGAGTGTGTGGATCTGTGACGACAATCAGTAGACTGTGTTGGAATCCTGAAGTTGTGCTTCAGTCATGTGGCAGGTATCAGTTTCAAAAGTCTTCAAGGTGCGGGTAAGTTCAGCTTGACGTCTAATCCGCAATAAAGTCATCATCCCCATTAATACACGTTAGCCGAAGGTGAAAAACACACCTTACTTAAGGTGCCGCAACACAAAAAGATAGTAAACGTTACAAACTACAAAAGCTAAAATATTAACAATACCAAATATCATATTATGCATTAGGTTTGAAATCTCTGTTGGAGGGGGAAGCTAAAGGGGGAGGAGAACGACAAGGAGATTCACAACACAAACGCCACTGAGGTCGGCTCCTCGCCATGTCAACTAGTGTATCCAACCAAACGTGTTCATCATCCTTCGGTCCTCAGCCCGGCAGTTAGGAAACACCAAGGAAAACCAAGTTCGAAGTGAGGATTGTCATTTCTCTTGACCAAATCATCGCTTGGCCTCCCCTCCTCTTTTTCTATCCACACTCTCGGCGCGCAAACAACGCACGATGCGGGAATCGCTGTGCTAGATTGCCCGTAGCAATCGGAGTCTGAGGCGTGATGCAACAGTGCTGGGTGCTTCTCCCGCTCGCGATCCCGAAAACGCTCATTTTTCACGCGGCGTTTTCACCAAACATGAGCCATGCTGCGAAGGCAGCGACGAGCGAACGTAACAAGCTATCTTATATTTTTCGATTTGATGGGCCAGGTTTCACAACCGCACAGGAGTTGAACGCATGACTATATTGTAAACTCTGCTCTTCAGGGCTAGAGTGATGTCACACCAGCGGCACAGATGGCGGAGATTAGCAAAAGCGAATCGAGCTTTTGCTATACGGTTTATGATGTCATCTCCAATTGTACGGGCGCTACTATAGCTACCCAGATACCTGAACCTCTGGGCGACTTAAAACTGATCACCGTCAAGAGTCAACACGGAGGTGAGTCCTTGCCAATTTTGAAGAAGGAATTTGCATTTCGAGGGCGCAAAGCATAGCCCGAAACGATTGGCAGCCAGAAACTTGGTAGGTCCTGGAGATGTCACAGATGAGCGCCATGTCATCGCCATATTTAAAGTCAAGAAGTCGGTCAATTGGGAGCAGCTCCATACCTTCTAATTTGTGCCCGGCGAACGCCGTTTCCATGAATTCGTCAACGGCGAAGAGGAAAGGTGAAAGCGGGCGACTTCGTTTTCACATCGCCTGCGATACTGAAGGGCGGCGATAATTTGGTGTAAACCCGAACGAGGCGCGTACAGCGCTCCTATGACATTTATCTGGCACAACTTTCCTTTAGTAGACAATCTCAAAAGGCACATAGATCAACCTAACCAAAGACACCTTTGATGTTTAGGGATACGACTACCATGGGTCGCTAATAAACATGGCGGTGCACCAACAAATGACGTAATGTGAAGATGCGGCTAACACAACCTCGATTTCGACGAAACCCGGCTTGCTCCTCGCGCATCTGGTTTTTACGAATGCCAGTCAATCTGTGAAGAAGGACAGACGCAAAAAATTTAGACCAGACTGATATCTGTATGACGGCCGCATTCTAAAAGGGAGCCTCGCTTGAAACTTGGGACTATAACAGAGGGGCTGCAGTCTGTCGGGACAGTCCCCTACGCCCATAGATTCACTAGTAAGTTAATGTAAATCGTCCAAAAGAACAGGGCCTCCGAATTTGAGGATGGCTGGATGAAGTACATCTGCTCCGGCGGCCTTGTTTACTTTCAACAGTCTGATCTCACCTTCGATTTCTGCGCGTGTGGGCGGATCCAGGAAAACGACCCAGGGAGTAGGGCGATCATTGGCCGATGGAGAAGCTAGCAACTTTGACTGATTAAACTGCTTCTCAAAGTGTTCGGCCCAACGCCCCAAGTGCTTTGACAAGCTGTGGATCGGCTATCCACTTTCGTCGCATATGGTCACGCTAACATCAGGTCTCCTGCTGCCCAGTTCACAGTAAAGTACACATAGTGAACGGTGCCAGCTTGAACCGAGTTCCCGGCTGCAGAAGCGACGGTAAGAGACATTGTGGTTCACAGTGAAGTATTGTGGCTAGCGACGAGGTTAATATCATTACGTTTACAATCCCCAGCGTGAGTGAAGGTTGCTGCAGTACCACTAGAGGTCTGCCTGCAGCTATTTTCCTACAGTACTCGGTGTACGCTCACTATCTACTGTTCCTTATTGGGTCACGTTAGCCCGTTTCACTAGCAACGATCAACAGACTACCAATACACCTAACTGAGTGGCTGCGCGATATCTGCTACGAAGCATCCCCCAGGTGTTGTTCAGAGTTTGACGTTACCAAAAACGATATCAATATTTTCGCCATACGGAGAGGATATGAGAGCTGAGCATACAGGTAGTTTTGGTACCATCCGAACTGCAGTCATTAGGGGTGGAAACGGAAACAAGGAAAAGTCACTTTGTCTTCAGACGCTGTTTATTAAATCCAATAAAAGTTCACTGGTGTCCAGCCGAGTACATTAGGTTCAGTAGGTTTGGTGAGGGCGACATCAACACCTTAACTACCCTAAGTCATTGACTCAGTATCCCCATAAACGCAAATAGTCATTGGCAGCAGACTCGGAGCCCAGGAGTCGGAAATTCGTCCTGTACGCGTGGTTCGGAGACACGGCACACATAAATATCATAGGAGTGAAGAATGAGAGTGACTGTTGCCTGTTCGCCAATCTGACCCAGAGTGCTGACGTTGAACGAACCCATACAAAATGAGACGCTTGGTTTGAGGGACGAGTTACATGTATTAATGGTAGCGTTTGCGACGTCAGCTTAATGGACGACGAAGACAAGTTGAGGGGGATAAAAAATGAGAGAGTACTGTTGATGAGGTCGAGATGGCAGATGATACTCTCTGGGTGTCCATACCGAGAAATGGGTTTTATTTTAGGTGCCGTAACCTCTAGTCTTTGACACAACAGTCTGACCCACAAGTCAGCGGGGAGGAAGTCTAACACGGGAGTGTGATTGCAGAGGCTCATTGGGATTTGCTAGAGGTTTGTCACATGCAGCCTTTGAGTAGCTAGCATAATACATGTGTTTCACGACCGTAGTATGTAACGCACCTGCGAGCACGGTAGTCGCAGGTGGAAAATGGTACGTTTTTACTAATTTGGCCAGGAGTGCTTGGCTTGAGGTGGAAGGTAGCAAACTATTGAGCACCCGGAGGTGCCCTCCCACAATGCTCGGCGCTCATACTCTAGGTCAATCGAGCTGCGAGCATATAACCTGTAGACCTGTTGTCTCCTATGGTTGGGTTGTAAGGGAAGAGCGTCATCGACCACTCTTCAATTTCCGAAGAGGATTGTGGGACAGTTAGTCTGACTCGGCGTAACTCAATAGGTCACGGGTACACAACCCATCACGTCGCGATGGTATCAGCGTGGAAATAAGGAAAGGAAAGCTGGGCGGAGCACTTTGGGAGCAGTCATGTTGGCTCCCTGTTCCTAGACGCTTTCGTGTTAACCTAGGGTAGACCGAATTATAGTCGGTTAAAAGGGTGATTTGGGGAGAAATTTCCTTTCGATAGATCTTGTCAGTTAACTACAATTATGCGATTCACAATCATTGGAACAGGGGATATCTCTAGCGATGCGGCGATGTGACTTGTATGCTTTGACCGGAGGGACGGTGGCAACCGATGCCAGTTTGAACCCATTGCCATAGAGGAGTATGCTTGAAGTCAACTGACCATGCTATAACCATGGCAGGGTAAAAGTTTGCACAAAGACACACTGTGCCGTTGGAGCTTAAGCAACTCGTCTTGTGCCTGGATTGAGAGTTTATAAGACATGGCTCGCAGTGAGCATAAGTGAAGTGTTTGCCCACTCGAAATGCCCACTTAAAGAACGTCTGACATTGGATTAACCGTGGGGCAAGGCAGATCATGATGCGAGGAAGTGGAATTCGCAAGAAATCTGTCGCGCACATGTCGCTCTAGCTTCACACAATCGTCAGCTACTTGAGACTGTGTCACTAATAAGGAGTAAGCGCCCTGGGCCTAAAGGTTTGCGAAGGGTATTTCAGCTTAAAGATAGGCGCTGTGTTTCCCAGTGGAATTTTGTATTCCCTAGATCGGTAAGGTTGTGCGGAAGCGAAGAATCAGGTTAATTTATTGATGTACTGCCACTGATGATAATGATGACAGTAGCCATTAAGCTAAGGACGGGCTCTTTCAAACTACAAAGGTTCCTCCTCTACAAGTTAAGCGAAGATATTGGCTAATCTCGTCTTGAACAAATCTATTCAGTATACCATAATGTGGGTGAGATACGAGAACAGAGAGTGCGACCTATAATGCAGCAAGGACCTCGTACAGATGCTTCGTTGCCATGTGACCACCGCCGATTTCATGAGAACTGAAATATTGCAAGCTCGCCCGTATTTACTTAGATTTGTATTGGTGACCTGTATAGCACAGGTAAAACAGCCGAACTCACAGAAACGGTCAATTGAAAGTTCGACAACCCCAAGGGACAGCACATCCTCCAAATTGGACAGTTAAGTCCTTAATAACCTGAAGGGAGAGGGAGACGAATCTCACGTGCAAGTGTCAAACAATTGAGGAACCGCGTAGTAACTGCTCTATGGTATGGGTGCCAGGGACATTTACCGCGGTAAGTGTAATGGCGGTTCTAGGGCTAGTATCCTAAAGGAAAACACTGACCCAGGTTGGTGTGAATAGTGCTAACAGTTTTGCTGTAGCTAAACTAAAACGACAAGAGGACATGGGCGAAAACGAAGGAGAAACAAGTTGATGGATCGACACAGAATGAACAGCCGATAACGGGAGCTGACAAATGCAACCTACCTGAAGCATCAGAGCAAGCCAATCCCGGAGCGCAACTAGCAAAGCCTCTCGCGGTTTGTAAGATGAGTCCGTTTCCTCCGTCCTCGTGTCCGCATTGTTCCTCTCTAAGCAGTTGTCAATGGTGGCGGGAGGTGCCGAATCAGTGCTTGCGGTTGGAGATCCGGTATCTTCAAGCCGTTCCAACATTTCCTTATGTGGTGGATGTGCAGGTGGCCTCAGTTCCCCGTATCTAATAACACGGCGAAAGAAAGAAGGAGCGGGAAATTATGGTGTCAAACACCAACCATCGTCTGCAAGAACAGTTTAACAGCATCAAAAATCCAGCAGTGCATGTAGCAAAGGACCAGCGAGTAATGACACGTTTTACCTTGACCACTGAGCTAGAGTGTGTAAAGCGACATAGTTCGCCTCAAATTCGCAGTTGGGGTTGGTCAGGACCCCTCGCAAGAGACCTTTGCGACGTAAATCGAGTGGGCGTCCAGAATACGGTCCGATAAAAACGCGACGCTGATCGTAGTCGTTCGCGTGTAGGTTGTCCCAGAGAACGATAGGATGTTTAATCGACTGCGATAAATGCTCCACATCTGAGGTTCGAATGTTTTTGGAGACGACCAGAGGGCCGGTCCATATGACGGCGATACCTAATAGAAGATGGATAGAAGAATTATGAAGACAATGACAATCATCGTAAGCAATGAGGTTCGGCTCAGCTCAGAGGGTGGTATCCACGATCCGTGTGCGGAAACGCAACATGTTTGCTGAAGAAGCACCATTGTATGTAGTGAATAATCAGAATATGGGACCAAGTTAGCAAAAGAAATGGTGGGATGTCGATTTGACTCCATGGTGAACTCAATTGACAAGCATGCAAATGAACAATTGTGTCAAACGGTTTTACGCGCTTAAAAAACCTGAAACAAAATATGCGCAACGAGGGGCAGGACATAGACAAGAAGTAACCGAGACAAATTATGAAGGAGTGTGCCAAACGACTTCGTTTGGACAATGACGGAGATAGTTTTGGAGCAAAGAGTTGAGCAGTAGCTTTGATCAATACGGAAGGGAAAGATAAAAAGCACAACTACCATCGTTGCTAGACAGGAAACATTCGAGTGCAAGGTACATTAACTGTAATAGTTGTGGTAATCACAACAGTTTATTAAATAGACATAGAGCCTACAAAAACCATGGAAATTAGCAGACAAGAGGAAGAGTCGCCGAGTCACACTCATCGTGGCACATTAGTTGAAGGAGAGCAACACACTTCAGTTACTGTGCCGCAGGAAGAAAGGAACATTTTGACAAAAAGGAGAACAAAACATTTTAGATTGTTTTCACACTCCGATTTTTCTCTTTTTTGTTATTTTCAATGTTTGAAGTATTAAACACGTGAATCAATACAAATTCTGGACACAATTCTTCTACCAGTTCCGGTTGCAGGCCATGTCTTCAAGAGTGTTAAGCTATTGGCCCTCCTCATTCTTGGGTCCCCATGCTGGAAGACGTACGGATCCAACAGCGGCTAGACATGACGTCAGCGATCTCATGTGCTGCCGCCATGTAGAAGGCTGACTACCACGCGGTCGCCTCCAGTCAGGTGCTTGACGAGCGAATAGAGCGCGACGCAGTAGATGATCAGGTGTCATGCGTAGGACGTGACCGACCCATCTCAACTGGCGCAGCAAAACCAGTTTGTTGAAGGGAACACACGCATTCCCCAAGATGCGCTGTCGAACATCATTACTATTAACTCGGTGTTGCCACCAAACACGAGCAATCCTCCTTAAGCAACCGTTATCGAAGGTAGAAAGACGACGCATGTATTCCACCCGAATCGGCCAGGACTCGTTCCCATACAACAATAATGAGCGAACTGATGCGCTGTAAACGCAGCGCTTTAGCAAGAATGAGACATCACGAAGACGCCACAAGTGCCTCAGATTGACAAATGCTGATCGAGCTTCAGCGATGGGAAGATAAACTTCTTTGCTGAAAGTGCAGTCAGCAGAAACACAGCTTTCAAGGTGGACAAAACCATCTACCTGTCCAAGTGGTGCACGTTCGAGAGTGAGCACAGGAGCAATTGAAAGCCAATCCTTGAGAAGTACTTTACACTTCGATGGGGCGAAGCTCATGCCATACTTAGATGCTTCAACCGCCAAACGATCAAGAATGAGTTTCATACCCTGAGGATAGTCACCAAGTAAGGCGATATCATCAATATACTCTAAGTCGGACGCGCGCTCACCCGGTAGAAGCTCTAAGCCAAAACGTTGGAAAGCTTCAAGAGCACTAGACAGAGCGTCTTCGATTGTGAAGTTGAAGAGGAATGGCGACATGGGGCAGCCCAGTTGTACAACACTATTGACAGTGAATGGAGAGAAAAGTTTGCCGAAGACCCTGACTCTGCCGGAGGTATGAAGGCAGACTGCTCGTAAGTTAACGGTATACTTCTCTGGCACCCCACACTTCAGCAAGCAACACCATAAAGCAGGTCGATCAACGGAGTCAAATGCAGCACGTATGTCTAGGAATGCGACGATAGTGGGCCTGTGATAAATGTGGCGGTTAGAGTTGACAGAGCGTGAAGATTTGATCCACACATCCGCGGCCAGGACGGAAACCAGCTTGTTCTTCACGGTACTATGATTCACGCATTGGAGATAGTCTACGGAGCAGAATGGGTGCCAAAAGCTTGGAAGCAACCGAAAGAGGACTAATCCCGCGATGATTTACACATGAAGTGCGAGCACCCTTTTTGAGAATCGGCAAAATAACTGATTCGCCCCAATAGGAAGGTACTTGAAGGTTAACAGCAACAACACGGCCATGTTAACAGAGCTAGCCAGTGTACTGAAGGGTATATCTGACTTGGTTCGCAAAACACCTCGCCCCCATACCTCTTGGATATTCAAAGTAAATCGCGGCATTCTCAAGCATGGAGTATTGAGGTTCTTCGAGTACAAATCCGAAATCACTGGCAAAGCTAAACTAGGGAGCGCGTTTCACCACCTAGAACAGAGAGGTTAAACGGGTTTGTGGCGGACGAGCATTATCCCATGGGTTGAAGGATGCAGTATTTTAGTCTTCGAGAAGTGTGGTTCCCAAGCATAGTAACGCATCAAAACCGAAGGCCAAGGTGGCATAAGTTATGACGGTAAATTTCTCATTTGGCGGAGCTACCGAATATTTGGCACATAGCCATATCACAATGGGAGGATAATTGGTGGCAGACGTACGTGTTGCTGTTATCCGTAATTAGTTCCGAAAATCAAGGCATCGCGAATGATAATATGACACATACGGTCATGATAGGTCAGAACCTACGCTCGCTAGAATGGAACCAAAGAGCCGTGAAACACCTGGCCCAATAATTTATGACTATTAATAATCATACGTATACTTCTCGGATGTGCGAGGGGCTGTCTTTGGAAATAGGGACAGATCAGTAGTACAGTTATGATCATGCTCATGTAGGAGTGAGATATGTATTCAACAGCATCCATGTTAGTAAGATATTCTAGGATACAGTAGAATCTGCATAAGTTGAGCACTCAAGGGACTGGACCAAACTGCGGTCAACATAGGGAGTTTATTTTCACGTTCACCCTGTTTCGACCATATTATATGGGTTCTTATATAAACGCATCCTCTTCTATTACTGTTTCCTTGAGCTTAGCCAGGAATTGTTCTGCAGACTGGATGGAATGTTCCAAGCCAGAGATTAGGTGTTTCAATCTGTTCCAGAGTTCCTTTGAAAGTTTGTAATTCGGAGCTCCAGGTAACGACACGATAGGGCGGAGAGGGACTCTATTTTTGTGAACTATTGGCAGGCCGTAGAATCGAGGTAGCACCGAATCTCCTGGTTTCATCTTGCTGTGTTCTAATTTTGTAATCTGTCCCATGTGTTCCAGATTTTGTAGGGTGCATTTGATTTTGATTTCCAATCGTACAGTGGGATCTGCGTCAACCGGTTGGTAGGTGTTCACATCTTGGAGAAATTTTTACGCTTTCCTCGTATAATCAGCTTTGTCCATTACAACAGTAAGACGCCCTTTATCAGCCGATAAGATTACAATACCTTTAGCTTTCCTAAGGTTTCTCAACGCTTTTTGTTCAGTTGTGTTGAACATGTCGGTTTCACTCTTGTGCCTCAGTGCTGGAATGATACTATGTCTGATCGTCCGTTGGGCGTCAGCTGTGGTGTTGCATGAGTTCAGTGTTGTCTAAGATCTGCGAGGAAATTGATGGGATTGAAGTCTTTCGAGTTGAATTGCACGCTACAAACAACTACTGCTTTTTCTACATCCGACAGGGTTCGTTTGGATAAATTCCTAATCCATGCATCATCTTGATTCACTGTTTTAGGTTTTGAAATTCTCTCTAGTTTCTTTTCCAGTTTTTGCTGTGTGGAGTTTGGTGTTGTGCGTTTTTATGGATATCGCCTTTTCAAACTCTAGTCAATTCTGTGCCGAGGTTGGATAAGCATAACTCCTTTTGGAAGTCAATCGTTCGGAGATATTTTTGCCCTCGATTATGTGCGTCGGTTATCAGCATACGTGACATGCGTCGTCCGTGTTCTTCGGTGAGTTTCCAGGCCAAAGGATTGTTTATTGGTGGATGGTACTGTATACTTGGTGGTAGAACTTGTCTTCTCAAGCATTCATGAAGGAAGTAGAGTTGCTCCTGAGTAGCTGATAGCCGGCTGGCATAGGTCTCCCATTGACGAGCAAATCTGAGCGCGTCGCACCCGAATTCAGTAGAAGTCCGTGAGAACATTTGTAGCTCGGGATGCGGACTCTAGCCAACAGTACGCAAGAGCTGACTACACGGTCAGCTCACGTGGACCAATCGACTCCTGACGTTCGAATCAGTAAGTGATTAATAATCACTTGGATCTGTAAGTGGCCCGCATAAATCGCACTGATGATGTCGTCTAGCCTGACGATGAAACGTTTGCAGCCAAATCAGCCAGCTCTGAGAACACCCGCACAACCGCTTATATATATATATATATATATATATATATATATATATATATATATATATATATATATATGTATATAAAACTTACAGCGTCAATGCTAGTCTTGTGTGCCTTCAGATACGTGTACATGTGCAGCACAACTATTCAGCTATGACGTGGCTTGAGTCACCCCGATAGTAATAATGACCACAACGATGATAATAATACAGTATGATCAGCGAGAATGATAAAACGTCAAAGAGAAGCACGGGGAAATGGAGGTTGGGAAAAGCAAGTGGACGTGATCAAGTTTGCGTGCCAAAAGGCATGGAAGAGACCGAAAGTAGGAGCACCAGCAGTTCCGTAACTACTGATGTGGCCAATCCCGAGGACTCCATCTACGAAGATGATACACACCTACTCGACCAAACCTATTAGTCTATCCCCTCACGCCCTACTGCCATGTCGTCTGCCAGCCACTTTGTAGATTCAATCAACTGTGCATAACGACAAACAACGCAAATTGGGGGTGGGGAGTCAATACACATATAGAAGAGACGAGTTCAGCGAAATGCAGTGCGGCACTAGAGGGTTATATTCGAAATACTTACTAGTGGACTTCAGTAATGCTAACTCAGCGTTCGCACCAGATATGATAAGAATAAGTCGGCACAGGCGATGGAAGGCAAGAAGTCTATCGATGTTTTCAACACGATCTGGTCAGTGTCGATTGTTTGGACATCCCAATGAAGATGAAGTTCTTAAATGAAGCAGGTGAAATGGGGTGTTACCCTGCTCTAGTTACAGTCACAATGATCGAACTGGCCAAGGCTCAATTCCATGCTGACCGTGCTCTACATTGAGATTGCGCATCGCAATCCAATCAAACGAGTGCTCTAAAATGATCTCTAGAATAAATTTATACTTACATTGAGAACCACTGAACAGACCGACGGCAGTTGAGATAGATCATATGCTACCATCGTAGGGGTGGGCGTCCTCGCGGTATACTCAGCCCGCGCGCGACTGGTGGTGGTCGCGCGGCAGCGAAGCGCCGTTACGGCGTACAGCTGACATATTATTATTACCATCGAACATCCAACTCCTAGCGTCAAAGCGAAGTACCACCAGAGTGGAGCGTAAATGAATGGTGGACTATTGGGAACATTCATGATGCGTAAAGATACTATAGTGTTCCAGTGATAGGCGGTCTAGTCAAAAGGTAATACAGTCTGGAGTAGCTCGGCCATCTTTGCGGGACATGCATTAAACGAAGTATGCGGCTTGAAAAGCGTTTTGTTTTCAGGGTCGATGAAATTATCCGGTAGATTGTGGTGATTGCAAGCTAAACAGTTACAGCAAAATTAAGTGCTAATAACCAACAAAATTCGACAGCAGTTGCCTGAATTTACGTGACGAATACAAATACAATACAGAACCAATATATTCAAGAATAGTGAAGTTAAAAGGTGAATTGAGGTTCGGAGCCCATCAAACAAGTGCCAAAATAAGCAAGCGGTAGATGATTTATGAATAAAGTAAGACCGCGTTTCCCGGAAAATTTTCCGGGATAGCAGAGAAAATCGATAAAGCACAAATTATAACGAAGCATGATGAAGTTGCTACCTGGGGCCAAACAAGAGGAGACCGTAGATAAATACTCCGACTTGGTTATGCTTGGAAGTGCCAGACTCGCGCAGTACTCTGTGGGGCAAAAAAGAAAAACACTCGGGCAGCCAAGATAATTGTAGAGATCGTTGGCGAAAACGACTTGAGCGCGCGCAGAGGAACTGAACACTTCACGATCTGCAGGACAAAGTCGAGGTTCTATGTCATCAAAGAGAAGTGCAAAAGCCCGGCAACCAAGTTTGGACACCTGAAAAAATAGTACGTTTGATTCGATCAATTGTAAGCAATTTATGGACAGGTGAACGAAAACGTACGTTTACCAGCGCGTAACCAAAGACAGAAAAGGACGGTCGAAAAATCTACATGGTAAACGATTCAAGCTATATGCTATGAAGATAGAGAGATAACAAGGTTCGGTTGCCTTGCCGCTAGACGTTGCAGATTGTATGATGACGGGAACGTAGAGATAAAAGCAAAAAAAATTGAAAAGCCGGAAACGAAGTCAGATATTAAACTAAAAGAGCACCAGGTACTGTAACTGTGTTTGCATGAAAGTAGGGTAGTACCCAGGTAGGCGTCAAGATTCTTCAGTGGTTGTAACATCACTGAGGTCGGCTCTTAGTTAGACCATAAAGGCAAAACAATAATACGTAGTCATTGCCTGATACCTAATCAAGAAAGGTTCGTAAAAACATTTTAGAGGTCATTTCATTGTTCATCTACACCACCTGTGCCTTTGGTCTTCATCTTACAGGACGACACTAGAGTGTGTGGGTAGTGACATGCGCAAACAGGAGGAGCATGGTGTGCCACATCACTGGAGCAGAAGTAAATTATACTCAGAAAGTGACTGATTGCGCGCGATTCACGCAGACCTGGGGACCAGAGCGGCGCTGTAGTTACAGTAAGCGCAAAATTCATAATAACTAACCAGAGGGTGGTTGAAATGCGTCAACGGGCGTCGGTGGACTATAGTAGTACAACAGAGTCACGATAGACTAACTTTGGCGCCGTGGTTTGCCATAGGCACACTATAAACGTGAAAATATGTCACGGAATGTAAGATGGCTTGTGCTCCAATGACTGAACTCCCTAATGATGTGGTGGTTGGCCGGAGCAAGACGCTGATGTTCCGATTAGAGGGTGATAATGACATGATATCCTACATGATTTTCACACGAGGTTCACAAACTGTTGTTAAGTATGAGAATAAATACTAATGTGAGTTGATCCCAAAGCGGGAGAGAGAGAAACTAGCAACACAGAAACCGTTAAGGTCGACTCCTTGATATGTCAACAAGCATATCAAAACAAACGTGTTCGTCGCCTTTCGGACGCCAAGCAGAAAGTTGAGGCTCCAACCGAGGCCACCACGAAGTAAGGGTCTTCATTCCTCTTCGCCTCCCATCCTCTTCTTCCATCCAGACTCTAGTCGCGCGAACAATGCACATCGCGGAAGTCGGTGCACTGGCACGTATAAGGTAGCATTTTCATTTTAGATTGGACGTTTTGCAAAGCACTTTGGATGTTTTGCAAAACACTGGACATTTAGCAAAAAAATCGGACATTTTGTAAACCACTTTGGACACATTGCATTTTAAACAGAAAAGCAGCCATCCTCTAGCAAGAAATGGTGACTAGGCGATGTTCAGACTGCATTGTAGTCATGCTAATGCAAGCGAATTGAGTAAACAGCGGATGCCACTGCAACCTCTTCTCTTGATCGTAAGCCTCCATCACCTTAATCAGGCGGTGACTAAGTCTCCCTTCTCTTCCCATCAGTCTTCGCGTAGTTTATGCGCCTGTCTTTACACATAAACCTGTGTAGGTATGCGACTATTGGAAATGCAGACTCCTGAATCGTATAGTCTATTATGACTTAACAAAAGGTCACTTAACTTTAGAGAATCATTGTGAGGCACGCGTTTGGTGAATGGATTGCGATGCGCAATCGCAATGTGGAACGCGATTCCAACTGGAGTATACCTTGGTCAATTCGATCACTGGGACCGTAACTGATGAAGCAGGTAGGCGGCGACCCAGTAGTCCCCTGTCACTCTATGGGTCTTTGCATACGTTCTGTGGGTGTGTGGGCGAACCTACGCAGTGCAATTATTGGATCAGTGCAGGCTATCATAACTCCACCAACACAGTCCAACTTTATTGGCCTACGAATGCAAGTAGTTATCAGAGAAAGGGGAGTAAGACAACTGGACGTTGTGGGCACGCGAACGCAACGGGACTGCAAGCAGTGAGCGATTGTGTAAGCCCTCCTCTTGGTCATGGGCATCGTTCACTCGAGTAAAACTGGTGACCCAGTTGTCCCCCATCGTTCAATGGGCATTCGCTCATTTCCAGTGCGAGTGTGGGTGAACTTATACAGTGCAATCATTGGAATAGTGTAGTCTATCATGACTCGACCAAACCAACTCAAGCTCTGCTGGCGTATTGATGCAGTTTGTTATCAAGTGCAGAGGATTAATGCGACCAGACGATGTGCGGGCCAGAGTGTGGTCACGCAATTGCAAGCAGTGGGTGATTGTCGCTCGTTTTGTGCAGCACAAGGTCACTAAAGTGATGCTGGGTTTCGCGGAGTCATGATAGCCTGCACTGATCGAATAATCGAGTAGCTGAATAGGTTCGCCCACACACCCATGTAATATGCAGAGGCCCATAGGGTGACAGGGTAAACTGGGTCACCGGCTTTAATGGAGGTGAACGAAGTCTATGGCCAAGAGGAGGGCTTGAACCTTAGCCCAATGCTTGCACAGTTCTGTTGCATTCGCATAACCAAACTGGGGCCGGAACAACGTCCAGTCGTCTTACCGACCTGCCCTTGATAACAAACTGCAGCATTAGGCCAGTAAAGCTAGAGTGGTTTTGGTGGATGCATAATAGCTTACACTGTTCCAATAATGGCACTGCATAGATTCGCCCACACACCCACAAGGAAGTACGCCAGGGCCCATAGAGTGACAGAAGACTACTGGGTCGCCGCCTATCTGATTCATCAGTTACGGTCCCAGTGATCGAATTGACCAAGGTTTACTTCAGTGAGAATCGCGTTCCACATTGAGATAGTGTGTCGCAGTCCATCCACAACATGCGTGCCTCACAATGACAGTAAAGCTAGGTAACATATGTTCAAGACATAATAGAGTATGCGAGTCTGAATTTCCAATAGTTGCATAGCTAGTTGGGTCCACAAGTAAAGCCAGGGGTACATAAACTACGCGTAGACCGATGGGGAAAAGAGCGATGCTTAGTCACCGCCTTTGATCGAGACTAGCGATCAAGAGAACGGTTGGTAGTGCATCATCTGCTTACACAATTCGGTTGCATTAGCATGTCTACAATGTAGTCTGCACATCGCCTAGTCACCTTACACTTCATTTCTTGTTAGCGAATCGCTGATTTTCTGCTTAAAACGCAGTGTCTAAAGTGTTTTGCAGAACATCGATGCGTTTTGCAAAATGTCCAATTTAAAGTGTAAATGGTATAGATAATCTAGCCATCGGAGTTTGGTGAGTGAAACAACAGTGTTGGGCGATCCACTCACTCTACCTGGACCATAAACAAGAGGCTAAAATACTCAATACTGTTGTTCCTACCAGATATGTGTTACGATTCGAAGGAGGCGGTGGTCGAACGCAACTAGGCACTTTATATCTATTGATCTGAAGGATCTGCTAAGTGGATAGCAGCGTTGTCGGCTCTACCTTCAGGGTGAGTGATATCGCACCGACGGTCTAAGTGGCGAAGATTAGTAAAATCTCGAAGTGCTTTTGTTATACGGCTTGGGACATCAACTTCTATTCCAAAAGCGTTGATATAACTGCTTAGGCAGTCGAAGCTCTGAACGACTTAGACCTGATCCCTCACTAAGGGTCTTCGCCAACCCTGCAAACCTTACGTTTTGAGGATGCAAAGTAAACCCGAAACGATTAACCCCCAGTGCTGCTTGGCACGTTTGCGAGCTGTCATAGATTAAGGCAACAACATAAGCACATTCGAAGTCGAGTGGGCAACATGCTAAATCTACCTGCTTCATCAGTTACGTTCTAGCGAGTGAATTGCCAAAGGTTCAATCCAATGGGATTCGCGGTCCATATTGAGATTACGCATCACAATGCATTCACACAAGAAGCATTTCAAAATGGTCTCTCCAATCAGGGCTAGATGAAGTTCACCTAAACCTAAACTTTAACAGTTCGATTTCAAATTCGACTACTGCAGGAAATGGTAGGCCCAATCGACGGTCGGACAAATTTTTCCAAAGCGTTCAGCCCAACACTTTAAGCGGTTTGACAGTTGGTGGGTATCTATGCGCTCAGCGACGATGCAGACGTCCGCGGAAACGCACCTGCAGTGAGGCACATATAAGTGCGTGGTCGAAGTCCATACATGTGCACAAAATCGAGTGACAGTTTTGGACGCAGCCTCTCCAAAGGTAACTGACCACGAGGTGATCGATTCGCGTCCATGGCCAGTTTGACTATGGTATGTCCCATCTACCCCTCCGGTAGATGTTGTGTCGGAAATAGACGAGCATCTTCGAACGGATCATTATTATCATTACGAGTCAACACCGTGTTGGCCGCCCAGATGAAGTTCATTATTGGACGAATTTCCGACCTGAGCGTTCATATCTACAATCAGCACTACACTATCCACATCTATCCAGTGACGAAAGAGCTCATTCAATTGGCGATAGAAGTCGCGTTTCATCGAGCCAGCGCTAATCTCTGGGGGCGTCAATAGCAATGACAAACAGCATCTGTTATCCCCATGCGACTTGAAAGTTCTGAAAGAGTCAGCCAATCTGACGGTGCACATCCGGATGTTGATTGAAATCCAACTGATCAGTGAAACTTCAGTGCTAGGGCTCAGAGTAATGCTCACACCAGCTCGACCGGCATTTGAAGTTAAGTCATCTCCGGAGAGACGCGGTGAGAAAGTATCGCCTGTGTCGCATGAGCCCAGAGGTGAAGTCTTGTAGCCGGGTTTCCGATAAATAGCAGATATCAATCAACAGGGTCGCTAATGTTAGGGTAACTGCCGCCGGTTGAATGAATTACAACAAAGTGCACACGACGAGACATGCCAGTGTTAGCGAGAATCGATGGTTCAAAGTAGAAGTGGATGAAGTAATGTTACGCGCTTAGTTGAGCACGAACCTGTCGACTGAATCGGAGCGATGCAATGCGATCGCGTGTGAGACGAAAGCAAACGACATCAAAACTAAAT